AATTGAATGATTGCAAATGATTGCAAGTCATTACTAGAAGAGTGCACTACATGAGGCACAATGTACATTGTAACTAGATTTAAGACCCCAAGCGATGGTAGGATTTATTTGTACAACACCAATTGTAGATGAGATGTACAACTTTCAAATCAATACAACACTTGCATTTCGACAATAATTCTGAATCATTTTTCTCCTAAAAATTTCCCTCCAGGTGGATCCCTTGCAGGATTTAGACAATATTGTTACTGGAGTGAGTGCAAATGTTATAATTCTTATAATCAACCAAGGAGATTGTTTTTAGAGGTAGTCTATATATTTGACTGTGGACAGGAGGGTGCATATAGGAAATCATCATGTACTTCTGGAATAACTAAGCACCCAAAGCCTGTTCTGTGTTCTCATCAAATGATGGATTTTTTGTCTTGTGAATGAATCCAGCAATGAAAATTTTGTTCATGAAGCAGAAATGAGGAACAATTTACATGGATTTCATAACATTTAATAGGCATTCATACCAGCTTGTCCATGCATGCAACAACACTCTAACAAAACAATAAAGAAATATATGCTTGCAAGACAAAGGTTTGCTTTCACAAGTTTTGTCAAAATGAAAAACACTTTTACCCCATTTGGAATGTTTTAGTTAGCCTATTGTAAGAACATACACTGTTTGCTGTCATTATTGTATTAGGTTTCACATAATTACAATAGAATCCATTTGGTAATTAATTGTTTCTGCCTTTTTATTTTGACATGTCAAACTCTATCAGTTTATGGTGTAAATGTGTTATGGTATAAAATGTATATGTCAATATCTGCTGCAAAATTTTATTCAAATTTGTGACTTCTACATCCACAGTAACTTTAAAACTGCAAAATCATAAACACGTAGTCGTCAGCTGCAAATATGAAAAATCCAATGTTAACAAAGAATAATTGAAAGCTGTGTAACAACGTATAAAGACAGACAGACAAACAGTGTATTTACCTACCCCAGGATATCACAAATAATGGAGCGAATAAGTGTTAGAAAAAAGTAACAAGATTAGTAATAAAAAGCAACAAAAAGATACATGTTCTTTTTAGTGCCGTGTACTCACATGTGTTAAGCTCACGTTGTGTGTAGTGCAACACACTTTATATACATGTAACATATGCACATACAGTTTTGCTTACACATATGTAATGTTAACACAACATGTACAGTGCTGTGTACAAGTATTTTACATTACACAGTGCACACTCACTTACATAGTCCTGTGTACAAGTGTTTGACTTACCCATTTAGCATTAGGCATTTTTAAGCAATAAAGCTAAATATAAACATTATCCTGTAAAAGAATTACATTAAATGCAAAAAATAGCAGATTGGAATACTTGTGTACAAAATGTAACTTTTATACAAGAAAGCCCAATATCAGGATTTTTTAGCGATTCACTGTCTCTCTAACTTTGCAGACTTGTCAGTTAGATATAATCACTGGCTGCATTTGTAGCAAAAAACATGATGCTTTTTATAGAAAGCTTCAATACAGCGATGTATTTTAATGTCTTTTGTATAATTAAAAATTTTCTAAACCCATTTTTATGGACTTTTAACAATTTTGTTACAGTGGGCCACTAACTGGTTTACTTAAGACAAATTCCCACATTTAACAAAATCCCTGAGTCATTATGTCATTGAATAAATTGCTATTCTGAGGGATTTCCCCAAACCTGAATGTTTAGGTTATCAATAGTTACATAGTTAACATATATAACTGCTTACTTCCCTTTGACGGCTCAAGCCCTTTGCAAAATAATCTCAAAGAAAAGTGACTTCCTTATAAAGGCAAACTTTGTTGTATTAAAAGAAGTGCAATGAACTTTATACAGAGGTATTATTTTTGACATAAAAATCCGTTTAAACATTTTTCTAGATAAAAGTTGTATGGATACACAATACCAGCATACATTAAAGCTTTAATTACCATTTTGGTTACAGCTTTATATTATTTTTTGACATTATATTTTGGTCAATTTGTTCCTTGTAATATTGAACAAATGTTAATAAAATGTTTTCATCACTCTGTGGAACTCATTTAACCCTCAATATTAATATAAGTCAGAAAAAAGCGCTGTATTAAAATATACATAAAAGTACAAAAATGGGCACATGGACAACACATTCAGTACAATATCAGAGTTCACAGCGACTTTTAAACAGTATAAAACATCTAATCTATATATTATTATATACATGACAATATTACACAATAATAAATGCATAGAAAAATTAAACATTATGACTATTTTAGAGGAAAATAAAAATTAAAAGAAAATACCTACTAAACGTAATAAAATATATAATTTAATGGAATTAAAGGAACAAAGTAGCTTGTCTGCATCCAACATGGATTTGAAGACATGCTTTTTGCCACTAATCCATATAAACTTAAAAACAAAAAAACAAAAAACATGAATTGTTGTGAAAATGAATGTAATTAATACTGACTAAAATGTTTCCGCAGGGATGATTATCATTTTTAACTCCCTGTGTTTCTATTTGTAAGTGCTAAGAGGTCATTCGTTAATCTCTAATCAATTTTGGGTTTCAGATTAAGTCATGAGTTTTACAAACATTCAAGAAATTCCTAAAGATAAAAGTTTGTTATTTCCTTTTTTCTAAGAGATCAGTATATAGCACCTTTGAAAACAAAATAAAATTCTTAACTTTATTCAAAAACAACAAAGTGAAGTCTCAAAAATGCTCAATAATGAAACAAATGAAAAAATCAAAAAGCTACGTTAAAATAGTATCTGTACAAGATATGCACTAATGTCTGGGGTAGCACTTAATTGTGATTTGTTCGTAAATATACATTCTGTGAAAAAATAAAACAGCACAAACATTGTTGAAAATTGTTTAAATTCCACTTAAGACAAGAATACAACAAATATTGATGTTTTAATTTGTCCATAGTCACTAAACTTTTTATTTGTTGCTTTTATTTCTGTAATAAGCACATTTTTTCTGTCTACTGCACATTTTCTTCCCTTTATTTTCTGCAATACAACCTTATGACAAAACAATAATGCCTCATTTTTTTATGTAATCAACGTTTATAATACAGACATGTTCTATAAACATGGTACAATAAACGCTAAAGTAGTACTGTATATCTAACTGATCATAAATAATAGTTTGGTATACAGCTGATAGGAGCATTACATAATTTATCTTTGTTTTGTAAAGATAAACCAAAAATTAGTAATCATAAGTCTTTGAGAGTTATTCGCCATGAAAGTGTCGTCTGCAACTAGAGCAGCAGATCTTAGAGTACATGGTATAACCACAAAAACGTGCCGTGACAAGCAGGCGACATTTCATCAGTGAGGTCTTATCTTCACACTTCTCATCTGGCATTACTAAAAATAGAAGAGAGATTAGAGATTAATCAACAAGTAAAAATCTCAAATACAAAGTCAAAATATATTTAAAGTAGATCTTATATTACTGTAATCAATTTTGGAAGAACCACTGCGAAAAAAGCACTACTGAATATACAGCATAATTGAACTTCTGTCTTATTTTTTTTCACTTTTAAATGAAAATTGGGAAACTTCCCTTTAAAAAAATTTAGCGTAAGAAAATTTTTTATTTAAATGCGAAAAACCTAAATTATTCAGGGAATGAGTTTGCTTTGTTTCCTGAACAAAAATTGATCTAAAAATGTTGAATTTTGTTTTCTACAAAATTTAAAGGGACAATTGTACAGATGTAAGGGGGGGTTTCGATTTTTCCCCTTTAAGTTTGGGGACAATGATGAGTTGCCCGTATCTCTAGTTTTCAAAATCCCTGATTGTTTTAAATGGCCATCACTATAAAGAACCTTACCACCTGTCTTTAAGGGGACGTCCCCTCTTCTCCCCTTTTAATTTTGGGAGTTGGGTAGCCACGCCCCCCACTGTAAATTTTATAACGCCCACCTTTCCAAATTAAAACGCCCATTGTCATTTTAAATTTTAAACCACTAACATTTTTTGTAAAAAATTAAAAAAGATCAGTTGTTTTGGAGAAAACAGAAACATAATTGGAAAGTTGCAGAGAAGAACAAAAGTTACAGTTTTCCAATTTAGCTTTTAAAATGTGAAAGTTTTTGAAGGAAATATATAATATCAAGCATATTTGATATAAAACAGACTGTTTGATTGCTGATTGTTAATAAAATTAACAAAGTATAACTATAGTCCATTTTAGTCTAGTTTGAATGTTAATTTAATTTTTTTATACACTCAGCTCTTCTATGAGAAGTAATCCAAACTGGACATTTATTAAAATGTTTAACCAAACCCAAACTGATTACGGTGACTACCAGCATGAATATTCTGACTAATTTTCCTAAAAGTTTGAGGGAAATTCTCTTAACAAATTCAAGTTCATGCCATTTCTTATTTCACATATAAAATGATATACATGTTTTAATCAACTATTTGAAGAGGGTTCAGGTGACAAACATTCTGCTGAAGGTAACCTCCTTTTATACATTGTAATAAATGTTATCCGGAACTCAGCAAATGTGTTTTTTTCTAAGCCCGGTACAAACAAACTTTTACCATTATAGCTTTACAGTGCACTACCATTCACAAAAGATTAGTCAACCTGTTACGTTAATTTTTTCGAAACTGTAACTGTAAAAGTTTGTTTGTACACCAAGATTAGCTTGGAAAATCCCCAAAAGTTCATTCACTAGTAAATTGTTAACATTTACAAAATTAGTTCACATAACTTCTATCTATAGCACAAATACTGTACATAAATAAGATTAAATATAGGTGAGGGACCAAATAGCTTAACATATTTAATTGTAAACTAAATAGTCCTTCAAAAAGCATGTGCCTTCCCCAGTATTAGCACTTCTGATCTGAATCTGAGTGCCAGAGAACATTATATAATGTTCCAATCAGTGAGCAAACTAGATGTCAGGTTATTTACGGTAAAAAACTGCATGTAATACCTCTGAGTTCAAGTTTGATTGTTTTCCATACAGGTGTGATTACACCATTATCAGCAGTGCAAGTATAACTATCTATATCTGCTTCTGAGGCCTGGCGAATGAGCAGGGTACCGTTACTGAAGATTTCGTACCGGCCACCGGTTCTAATATCAGACTGAGAAGACTTCTGCCAGCTTACGGCTGGTTTTGGGTTACCATACACTTCACAATGTAAGAAAGCCTGACGGTTGGGTTTTACCATTATCTTATCTGGACCAGGCAAGATTCCAATTGGTACTGAAATAATAAATTATGATTATGATCAGTATTTTAAACTTTCAAATAAACTTTCATGTCTTGTTCAGTAAAGCACAGTTCATTTTCTAGATGTAAAATTATTCCATTGAAACAGTATCTTAGGGTGTTTCTGTGATAATAATTGGAAACTGTACAAATTTTGTAAAATCTGTTTGCAAACTACCTAAATTGCAAATATTGCACCTGTACTTTCAAATGTGTAAAGACATTTTTTAGAACAGTTGTAGCAACAATCTCAAAAAAGTTTTAATCAACAAGATGATAACAATGTGCAAAATTTATTATCTTATCTTTGGGATCTTTGGTACTTTTGTATACTTTATGAAAAGAATATGTAGTTAAATGTAGAGAATTATATAGATATTGATATACGTCTCGGCGATTGACGTCACCAACGTCGTTGAAAATTTCTTCTTTCTGACGCCCCTTTACTTGTTTTCAATTTCTCTGTTACCCTTTCTTAATCATTTATGCTAATCCAAAACTGTGCTGTGACTTCCTGGAACATTTTCCTAGTTAGCCATTATCATTTTTTTACGTTCTAAACAGTTTGTCGGCTTATTTTTGACAAACTATTCTTATTGACCGATTTTCGAGACGTTCTGACGCAAATATTTCTATAACATGTGACGTTTGAATTGTGATTGCAAATATAAATATAGTTTGAATGAAGTCATATTTTCTGACAACGTCGAGGATATAGCTCATGACGTGTTGGCATATTTTGAAATCTAAATGTGCCATATTGTAAAATATATCTATCATATAGCGCCTGATGTCAGCGTAAATTTACGCACTGCGCCGGGTTTGCGTTACCATGGTATTTAAAATTTGCTGTTACGGACAAGCTGTTTGGAGTTATATAATATTAGATATAGAATCAATTTACAGGTATTGTTTTCCGATTTAGTGGTGATAAATAACAATTAAGTGTTAAAGGTTGAAAATTCTCGAAATTGACATCACAGTCCCCGGTTTATTTTTGATCATCACTCGTATTATACTTCCCCTAACTTTGGTAACATATACTGATAAATTTGTAGGAAACGACTTGGAGAACCAACGTGACAGGCATAACTATGCCAAACGTCCTCAATGGTGGCGGAAATACCTCAATAAGTACCATTCAGGGTTCACTCGACGTCTGCTGGGTTTTGAACTCTACCAATTTTTAAACAAATGAAAACACAAGATCAATTAAAAAAAATATTTATATGTTATTGTAACAAAAATTACAATGGGTTGCAATTACAAAATAAAAGGGGCATCCTTAGCCAAGTGGTTAAAGTTCTTTGACTTCAACCACTTGCTCCTGACCGATGTGGGTTCGAATCTTGACAGGTACATAGGATTCTTTCTGTTTCAAGTGAGGAAGTTATCCAGCTAGTTTAACAAATGTTGGTGGTTCTACTAAAGTGTTTGTTTGTGCCTGAAATAATGCACAGACGTGCACCTAAGGTCTTACCCCATCAGTAAAGCTGGAAACCATGACAAATACTGTATTGGTGTGATGTAAAACCGAAATCAAACAAACAAACAAAATAAAATTTTATAAATTACATTAAAATGAAATTATCATCATTTACTTTGTTAGATCTGTGTAATGGACTTTTCCTGCTATAATTGGGAATTGTCCATTGGTAATACAAGGGATTTGATATCAAAATGCTAAACAGTCAACAGAATAGAGCCTGGTCAGAATGCATTTATCTTCAGACTGACTCTTCTCTATAGCTTAAGTCTTTACCTGGCTTGATTATACTATAGCTTAGTCAGGCTCTACTAATATTCAGGTTGGCCTGACTATGGTATACTATACCAAATATATACGGGTGGACCTGATAACTTGTCAAAACCAATGCTACCAGCAATCCTCTCAAGCAATTGTCTCAAGCATACAGAAGATCTTAATTTCAAACAGCAAGGTTTTATTCCAATTCAAATGATTTCCCTGTTGCTTGTATAATTATAATTATAATAATCTGTGTCTATATGAAAACTCTAGATAAGCAAAATGTTAACTTTAAAGTTCATTCTCTTAAAAAACAAACAAAATGATGATAATGACGACCTTACCCTTCTCTAAACCATGTGACATTATTACCAAAGCGACATGACAATGTGACACTCTGTCCTGGAATGGCGACTGTTTCACCTTCTGGTTTTCTGTCATATTCTATTATTACAAAATAATTCTATATTTTTCCTAGAATGTACCTTTTTTCATTGTCTTTAGAATTTATTCTTTGCTTGGTTCTAAACTTATGGAAAGTTAGTAAAAGCTATAAATAAAAAGGTTTTGTAAAATCTATGATAAGGCTACACAAGTAAATGAGCCGCACCATGACAAAACCAACATAATGCATTTGCGACCAGCATGGATCCAGACCAGCATTTGCATCCGTGCAGTCTGATCAGGATCCATGCTGTTTGCTTACAAACCCTATTACAAGTAGAAAAAACTGATAGCAAACAGCATGGATCCTGATCAGACTGCGCGGATGCACAGGCTGGTCTGGACCCATGCTGGTCGCAAACGCATCATGTTAGTTTTGTCATGGCGCGGCTCAAATATTCTTTATGTTTTGAACATTCATCAACATGCTTATTTTCTTATTGAAACTTATGCTAAATTGTATTACCTTACATGATTTCTCAGACGGGAAAAGTTTTTTAGGTACTTTCTCTATTAAACATAATGCAAAGAATTTATATAGTAAAACATCTTAATATAAATTAATATAATATGACCTTGTACATTTGCAAGCTGACCTTGCTGACATGTACTGGAAGAATTAAAATATTAACGGACTAGTTACCTGGACAATTAGTTCCTTGTGAATCTCGTCGTGATGTGTAACCATCTAAACAACACTGATAAACTGAACGTCTGCAATCATATGGTGGCCTGTCTGTCTGTGAAGGTGGTGTTGTGACTATGAAATAAAAACAAAATATTATTTTATATTATATTACTGTATTTCTAGTGGCAAAAATAACATTGCTTAAGCTTCCAGTACAGAAGTACAGAGGCAATCAGTTTAAATCACTTGTATCATAGTTTGGAGACCTTTCTGTTGAAAATGTGTCAGGGTTAAATCGTATACATATACATGTACAGTGTATATGTATACAGGAGTGCACGTATTAGTTACCCGCACTCCAGAGCATGCCCATTGATTGGCTCATTTTTGCTGGGGTTTACATATTGTGACGGCAGAGAAAGGGAAAGCGACAGAAATATCATATTCAGATGTTCGCTCATTGGTTCATTTTTGCCGGGGTTTCATATTGTGACAACAGGGAACGTGTTTTTATGTTTGACTATGACACAAAAGAGAAACAACACCAAAATACTCGGCAATCTGATTAATACTCGGGGGCTACGCCCCCTCGTACAAACCAGATAGCCTCGTGTTTCGGTGCTCCTTCTATTACACAACGGATGATCACGTGACCAAAATCGTACAATGGGCTCATAAAATGGCGGTCTAAACGCTCGGTAAAAGCAGTGAAATTGAGGTAAGCATACAGTTAACGTTAAATTTATATGTAAAACTAGGCCGCACGGAACCCCTGTATAAAAAACACGTACTTTTCTGTTATTGGTTACTTTGTATCTCTCTCTGTTTAGGCCTGAAAGTCGAAAAAGCTTTTTATGGTGATGAGTACAATGGCCGAACAGGTACTAAAATACGTTGTTTTCACGCATTTTGAGCAAAATTAGCAATGACACCTTGTGCACAATTGGAAGTTTGCCCGTCAAGGACAATTTCCATCCTTTGTAAAGTTGTATAACGAAGTTGTGCATCTTTTTAAAAACGAGTTCAAATGCCGAACCAAATTTAAGAAGTACAATGGCCGAACGATTTTATTGCCTGTCCTATTTCGTCAAATTTTTCATTGAATTATGCTTGTTTCTCGCTTCCTGTCTTTGAAATCATACAAATATGATATTTGAAAGTGAAAAATAGGAAGAAGTATTAAATTAAATGAATTCAGTTTGCTTGCTATAAATTCTCATCTTAATTAATAGTATTTTGCTTTGATAACACACGTGTACATCAGCATAAAAGTATTTAAAATACAAAAATACAATACAAACATGTACATTATATAGAATTTATTTCACCAGCTAAATATATTTTTCAATTATATACATAAAATTGTCAATTATTTTGTAAATAAAGTCAGGTTTTTGTTTTTGATGTTTTTTTTTCTATTTCAGACGCAGAAAAAGTGGTTCCTTTAAATGAAAAGCATGTTTACATATATCTATAGAATTTATACATGTAATGTATATATTAGATTTTAAAATTGTGCTTATCATTTAAAACTTCATCACATCATATTATTATATAAGTAATTCAATATCTTTACAGGAATTGGAAATTTCTTATGTGTTTATTTGCCGGCATTATGGCAAATCGTATAGAAGAAGATCAGCTTCATGTCGTCACGAGCAGGTTCACAAGGGGAAGGCACATTGTGGGACATTGTTTCTAAATTTCGGCAAATTGCAAAAACATAGGTCTGTAAATTACATACCATACAAGAAGTACATAGCTGTCTGATATTACTACAAACGGCGTGTGTGGCAAAGATGGAAAGAACACAAAGAAACGGTTACATAAGGAAAAAGTATTAAGAAAACGAAATAAGGTAATCCTTGAGCAATATATAACCCTATTATTTGCAGCGGCATACAATGTACCCTGTATGTTGAGAAATGAAAGCATTACATATGTTCCTAAAAGGATTCAGTTGAAGTACAAAATTTCTTATGTGATCAAATATTATGAAACCCGGTTATTTTAGCTCCAACATCGTTAAACATAACATGGAAGCCATATTTACATCATAAATCTGATAGTATTTCTAATATTCTAATGTGTTTCAGTTGTTTCAGAGCAAACAACCATGGCGGATCAACACCGTTTCAGGCAGTCAGAAAATCTGATTAAGCAACACAAGTTATTCACTCAGGTTTGTGCACGTGACAAAATATCATTATATGGCCAAAACAAAGTCTGATGACATAATATTAGAAACTTTTTTGACAATGACTAGAACAAAGTTTCACTGAGTTTGCTTCGATATTACACCGTTTGATCCCTGATAACTCAAACCCTGACTATATACGTAGGCTCTTCCATATGTACATTTGTGTTTCTATTTGCCATAATGGGAAGAAAGGTGATCAATCAGCATTGCCCTAGGTCGAAAAGCTTTGGGCAGATGCTGCAAGTTATAGTGGGTTAGCATGTAATAACTTGTGTTGCTCAAGTTCAGATTTTGTCGCAAACGAACTGCCACATTCGATGCAGTTTTGCTCCGCCATGGTTGTTTGCTCTGACACAACTGAAACAAATAAGAATTTAGAAATACTGTCAGTTTATTGATGTAAATATAGCTCACATGTGTTCAACTTTTTCGACTTTCAGGCCTAAACAGAGAGAGCTACAAAGTAACCAATAACAGAACAGTACGTGTTTTTATACAGGGGTTCTGTGCGGCCTAGTTTTACACATAAATTTAACGTTAACTGTAAGCTTACCTCAATTTCTCTGCTTTACCGAGCGTTTAGACCGCCATTTTATGAGCCCATTGTACGATTTTGGTCACGTATTCATCCGCAGTGAATCTAGAAGCAGTCTAATGGTTGTTGAAATCTAATTTCTGGTATCAAAATCACTTTAAGTTCCAAATGCAAAGTTGGGCATGTCAATAATTCATATTTAGCAAAATTTAATGTGAAAAAGAAAATAGAAACTAATCAAATTGTAATTAACTTGAAATAATGTTTTTTTAGTTTCCCCAGATAAATAGAATTATTCACATTGGAACATTAGAGTTATTCAGAATGATTTTTAAGACTATGTTGCACCCTGAAGTAAAGTTGTAAAAATCAGCCAGTAATCATAACCAAACACATTAAAGCGGCCTGCAGTTTTGTTTTCTTTTTCGTTGGAAAAACAATTCTGTGTTGTTTCAAACTACATGTAATTATCTAAGTAATTTTATCTTGGAAAAATGCATCTTATCACTGTTAAGCTTTTTTCAAAGCAGAAACCGAGAGGTATGTATAGCACGCCAGTGATGTTCGTTTCTAAAAATAAAAGACTGGGAAACAAATTGTCAGCTTTACTTATTTACATATAGAGAGCGGACCAGTAAATATGGGGTATCAAGAGGTTTCCTTATTGTTTATGTATTTTATTGACGGCAATTTTCATTTTCCATCTAAATTCTCTTGATTTGACAATTACTGTTTATGAAATGGTTTAGCAAAAAATAACATATTTAACCTTAAAAAAAATCTGAAGGCTGCTTTAAACTTAGTCAATAAAATGTGTTTACTTTACTTTCCTATATGATACAAAAATAATTCTTACTTTGTGTTTCTGTACATTGTCTCTGACATTCTTTATCATTCAAGAAATTGTTACCATTTCCCTCATTACAGCCTCCGTACCAGAAACGATCACATCTCTGTAACTCCGTGTTAAAGAACCAACGAACCTCCCAGTCTGAACAACTTCCTGCATCCTTTGGTAGGCTACACACATCGTACCCTGAAATGCACCATGTTGTTTTGAAATTGCTTTTTTAAGACTTAAGCTATAATATTTACTTTGTCAAAATCTGCATGTTCATTTCACACATATAGCTTATTAAAATGTTTTACTACAGTGTACATGATTATTTCAAATTACCTAGGGGGTAAACGCATCCATATCCACATCCATTATTACAACATTTCTGAACTCCGGTACAATCAGCATCATTCTGACATTCCTCCTGACAGATTCCGAACGTGTCCGAGTCAATCACCGGACATTCGCCGGTTTTCGCAACAACTGAAACAAATAACACATTAGTAATGCTTGAAAAATCATTATATTACCTTGAAGAATTAAGTGGAAATGTATTATAAATCACCTATGGAAAAAGATAATGATTCTAAATATGAAGTATAATATTTTAATACTTCCATCAGAAACTCACAATCAGTTCATGTATTTCATCTCAAAGAGAGAAAGAAAAGAAATCTTTCAACTCACTGCTCCCTTAATGAACATTAGAAAATGAAAGTTAGTAGGTTGGATGAATTTCCAGAGATAATTGCCTAAACTTGTCACCAGTCTATTTCAAGGGGTCAACCTTGTAGACATCTAGTTATGAAGTTAATATTTCTTATACAAGAGAAAATGATTTTAAATTAAAATCTATTGCAAAAGCAATTTAAGCACACAGAAAAATGTTAATATTATCATATCATTTATGTAAGAGAATATTGCTTCTTACAATGAAGATACCTAGAAAAATTTCATAGATATTTCATTATAACACAAAATTTGTGATGTAAAACATGTCTAGAAATACTCTTCAGGAAGTTGATAGTTAAAGTTTTTTGATTGCATGGTTAATCAGAAATCCTTGAAAATTAGCACATTGACAATTACATGCTTACCAAGTTGTGTGGTTGTGTTTCTAGCAAAGTCGCTCCACTCACTCAGGTATGGCGGATCATTGACACGCACAGCAAAATGGTATTCTGTGCCAGGTCTGAGTCCGTCCAGATACCCTCTTAAATCTGTAGTGTTTTTATATGAGTTTTGTCCAGAGCCGTAACTAAAGTAACGGATAGTGTAGTATCTATTATCTCTGATACGCTGGTCAGGTCCCAAGGAAGGAGCTTTCCATGTGACGATGATTGTCGTACTTGATAAAGTGAACCCCCGGACATTTTCAGGTGCATTCATTTGGTATGGCTCCTCAGCTGTAAGTAATGGAATATTATAAAATTATTAAACCAAGAAAAAGTTCTGTTTTTTTTTTTTCCTTTTAAAAGATAACAAGAATTTGTAACAGAGTTACAAACGTCCCCAGCCTCTGGAAGTTTTATATGAAGCATAAAATTGTGCTATTTCAAAAGATTGAGGTATGGATCTCAGGACTTTCAGTCCAAAATTATGATCAATGCTAGATCTGCAAATGCAACAATAAATTGATAGAAGAAATAAAATGAAACACAGAATTTAAAAATCTATCATGTTAAGCTTTAAACTCTAAGTGTGACCTTGATCTTGGAGGTAGGGGTGCAGGTGTTGTGCATGACATATTGTCTTATCATTGTGATTATTTATGCAAAGTATTTTAAAAATCCCTTGATCTATGAAAAAGTTATGGACTGGACACAAAATATACCCTATAACAGACTTTGTAAATCTTTGACCTTTAAGTGAGACCTTAACCTTGGAGGTAGGGACATAGGTGTTACGCTTGACATATCATCTTATCATTGTGACTATTTGTGCCAAGTATTTTCAAAATCACTTGATCTATGAAGAAGTTATGGACAGGACACAAAATATACAGACTCTGTTCAATTTTGACCTCTAAGTGTGACCTTGACCTTGGAGGTAGGGGCGCAGGTGTTATACTTGGCATATTTTCTAATTATTGTGTATTTTTTATGCCAAGTATTTTCAAAATCCCCTGAACTATGAAGAAGTTCTAGATGGGACACCAAATATACCCTATAAAAAGACTATGTTAATTTTTGACCTCTAAGTTTTACCTTGACCTTGAAGGTAGGGGTGCAGGTGTTATACTTGACATATCGTCTTATTATAGTGACTAATTGTGCCAATTAAAATCCTTTGATCTATGAAAAAGTTATGGACTGGACACAAAATATACCCTATAACATACTCTGTTAATTTTTGACCTCCATGTGTGACCTTGACCTTGGAGGTAGGTGACCGGTTAATGTGCATGACAAATTGTCTCATTATTGTGCCAAGTATTTAAAAATCCCTTCAAAGATAAGAAAGTTATGGACACAACATATACCCTCAAATAGACCATGTTGACCTTGAATGAGCAAGTGAGACCTTGAGGTAGGGGGTCTGGTTGTTGCGCATGACACATCATCTTATTATAACAAACATTTGTTCCATGTTATTTCAAATTCCTTTGATAAATGACAAAGTTATAAACCGGATGCGAAAGTGCCACGTCCGTCTGGACAGACGTCCGGACGTACTTACGAAATGGTACTTATGTGACTTTTCCTTTGATCTATTTAGCCATTTTTAGTCACACAAGGGTTAAAAAAGACATACAAGTAAAAAGGGAATGAATAGGATCAAAGAGAATTTACTGTTACCTATTGTTCTCCAAGTCACACAAGTACCTCTGGGTTTGTACGGACAGATGGACAGACAGACAGACGGAGCCTATTTCTATATCCCCTTTTTTCTTAGAAAAGGAGGGGACAATAATAATGATAAGTCACTTCTTTTTATATTTTATCTATAGAATGAAGATTTCTTAAACACTTAAAGTCTTGTCAATATTTTTGGTTGCACTGGTCTGTGTGGTTTTAGTTTTGGCTTTAGTTAGATTCAAATTATAAATAACAGCCATCTATACCTCAAAGAAATTAACCTTTGGTATTTGTTTGATCCAAGTTTCATACAACCTACTAAAGAACAGAACAAACTGATTACATACCAACTGGGTCGACACATCGTAGACCACAACCATGATGGCAACATTTCTGGTTGCCGAGACAGCTTGAATCATCTCGGCAAGTTGGGGCGCAGGCACCAAGTAAACCCTGCCTGTCAGTCCTTGCTGGGCAAAATCCAGACTTTGAAACACCCGGACCTGTAATTATGTCAAAAAAAAACAATAAATCCTGTATCAATTTTAAGCTTTTTTGTTTAAAGTTTATCACATACACTGGAGTGTACATTTATCACCTGCTCTCAGTTTATCACCTGAACTGGGTTTATTACTTGCAATGGGTTCGACATTTTTTTAAATTTCTTTTTAAAATACCTGTCTGGTATCAAATTTATTGGGTATAAAATTAATTTTTTTTGGGTTATAACATGTATTTTTGATGTTTATCACATGTGTTGAGTACAAGCTACTTTGCATTTATCACATGTTTACTGTTTATCATTTGCTTTCAGACAAAAATAAGGAAAGAGAATAGGAAAGAATATATAATAGTGTACACACTATAGACTATATAATTATGAAGAACAGAACAAACTAATTACTTACCAACTGGGTCGACACATCGTAGACCACAGCCATGATAGCAACATTTCTGGTTCCCTGAACAGCTTGAATCATCTCGGCAAGTTGGGGCACAAGCACCAAGTAAACCCTCCTTGTCTGTCCTTGCTGGGCAATCCCCAGACTTTACTACAGCCGGACCTGTGAAAATGTCAGAAAACCAATAAATCCTGTATCAATTTTATGCTTTTTTGTTTATCACATACATAAGGGTCTGCATTTATCACCTGCTCTCAGTTTATCACCTGAACTAGGTTTATTACTTGAAATGGGTTATTTTTTGTGTTCATCACCTTTTTTGATTTTATTTCTACCTGTTTGGTGGGTATAAACTGTCTTCAGTTTATATGTGTTTTGTTCTTGTTGGTTATCACATGTGTTGAGTACGAGCCACTTCGCTTTAATCACATGTTTGGTGTTTATCATTTGCTTTCAGACAAAGATATGGAACGAGAATATGAAAGAATATATAATATAGTGTTCACCATATACTAGAATTATGAGATACTATATAACGACTATATGAAGTAAGTAAATACATCACAATTACCAAAGCATGGACTATATAAAGGAAGTTCTGTAGGAGCACATTTGTCTCGGAGCACATTTGTCTTACGTAAGACCGATGCGGTCGCATTTGTCCCACATTAGACAAATGGGACCTCAAATATCTACCCCAAAAAACTCATTTGTATGACAAATGTGCTCCGATCAAGTTTTTTAAGGGACAAGAAAGCACATTTGTCGCATGTGTTTTTAAGGGATAAGAAAGCACATTTGTCTCATGTCATTTTTATGAATTATTTGTCACATATTTCCCCACGGCAGAAATTCGTTTTTAGAATCGAGGTTCGCCGTATAACCTCATGTCAAGTGTTATCATCAATTGGTTTGCTTATGCTTTCTTTATTAAAACCTAAAATAAATAATAATTATAACATCTCTAATTCAAGAAATTGATTGGCTTAACCTAAAGGCGTACACTGAAACATACTAAATCCGGTTTACGATGGTACAATGGTGACAGCGCGATGGCACGATGGTACGTTGATGAAAACGCGATGGTGCGATGGTGAAAACACAACTGTACGATGGTAAAAAAAGCGAGTGTACGATTATGAAACAACGAAGGCTCGATGATGAAAACGTGATGGTACTATGGTGAAAGACGATGTTACGATGGTGAAAATACGATGATACGATATGATGAAACTGCGATTGCATGATGATGAAACGCAATATTTTTTTCTCTATCGTGACATCGCATCATCGTGATTTCACCATCGTGCCATCTTGTTTTAATCATCGTACCATCGTACCATCTCAATTTCACCTTTGTACCATTGTGCATAGCTGTTCAGGGGGACAAAAATGTTACTTATTCCAAACAGAACACCGTAATCGGTTGATATTGAATGATACAATATCGTAACTTGTTTCGCATCTCGCCGAAATCTCGCGTCTCGCTTCGCATCTCGTTTGTCGACGTGGGACAAGAAATTAATTCCAGGTCATATACCGCTAAGTAGTATTCCCTTTATAGTCTACATAGAATCACTTAAACGCCCATTATGCCTGAGAAATGCTTTTATTTGTATTCCTCAAAGGCTTTATTATTTTTGGTATACTTTTATAGCTCCAAAAAGTTACTCATTGGCTAATTACCTGAAGCATTTTTTCATCTGCTGCTGTTTTGCAGTTTGTACAGTTGAAGTGATTTTGAAATTTGTATTGAAGTCAATTACCATGTTTACAATTTGCTACTTTTGTATCACATCATTTCACATTTATCGCGAATTTCTTTGGGTTACAAGTATCTAACTACCTCAGAAATCATTATTTGAATACTAATTAATTCATACTTGCCCTATCTAAAGAAGTAAAAATTATTCATTTCTGAAATCTCGTGGTACGGGATACTTCGACATTGCGAGATCTCGTGTAACAATATCGTGCCTCGCTTCGTGTCTCATTGAAAAGTCGCGTCTCGCCCGATTCTGAGTGGCCCGATATTCCTTAATTATGGCATCACCCGGATTATTTTAGAAACTCATGCATGTTGTAAGTGCTTTTTCAATGGCGGATCTGAAAGCCGCAATTCTTGGAAAATGACTATTTTTTCTACATATATCTCTGATGAAAACAAAATACGTGTGTAATGGTCTTCTTATTTCTTCCAAAGATCATTTAAGAGCGTCCGTTGCCAAGTGATTCCAAAAAAAACACAAGCCCCAAACCGCTGTAGGTTCGACCCATACACGGGGCGTCGAACTATTCATGCGAGGATCCC